GGGTGCCACCGTGGGTCCCACTCAGCCAGCCCTGCAGCAGACACAGCAGCAGCTCTGTGCCGAGCTGAGCTCTGCCAGCTGTGCCGTGCAGGCAACAATAAAATGGATGTAGAACACATGACTTCAGAAGAACAAATAGCAAAAACAAATAAGCATCTTTCTCCTGTGAAGCTGCTTGCAGGTCCTGCCTCAAGGCTGCAGGAAAACAACACCCCAAGCAGGGGGCTGTAAATGTTGTGTTAAACTCCCCAGCCCAGGCCCAGGGGAATCCTGTGCCTGACTCTTGTTTTCTTTCCAAAATTACATGTTCATATACCCAGTTTATGCCACCTCCACTTGGGATGTGATCCAGCATTCCTGAAATAAACTTAAGTCCTTCAATAGCCTTCAGCTCACTCTAAATCAGCTGCTCCTCTGATTTCTGCTCTTTCTCCCATTCCTCCCTCCCACTAGTCAGGACTTTTCCTTCCCTGGCACTGCATAGCTTAGCTCATCAAGCCAGCAACAACTGTCCTGTGCCTACTCCAAACCCTGGGAATGTCACCTCATTTGTCTGGTCCATCTCTGCCCATCCTCTCTCCAGACAAAAGTACCTGGTAGGTATATCCACTTTGCTTCTCCAGGTCTCTCTCCTTGATAACATTTCTCTTTTCCACACCACCTGCAGCCACAAGCCCTCTGCAGCCCTGGCCAGACGTGCTCCAGGCCCAGCACATCAGCTGGCCATGGCCATGCAGAGGCACAGCAGGCAGGGGAAAACCTTCCCTGGCATCCAAGAACACTCTGGAGTACACACATTGCCGGGAGGAGATATTTTACCCTGACTCAGCTCAGCACCATTCCCTAACTTGGCATCCTGCTCTGGCAGCCATCTTCCAGGGGAGAGGGAGAACAGCAGGACCAGTCCCCAGTCCATGGACCTGTTTAGAGGCCAGATCTGTGTGTGTGGATATTCTCCCTTTCTGAAAAGCTGCTCTATGTGGCCTGGAAGGAAATGGGCCAAGGTCCTTACAGTTGTTAAAAATCTCATGATACTTTTGCAAGCAGGATGGTGTAAATCAAACAACTGGGCACAAGCTTCCTCGGTCTGGGTAATTTATATTCTGCCTCACTAAGTTCATCTCTGCACTTCCAATGCATGAAGTGATTTTTCACTTCCCCTGTAGTATTTGCTGGCACGGAAAAGCTGCTGGGCTCTGTCCCAGAAGTAGCTGCATTTCATCACCGGGTGAACGATCCCTGCTCGCACCGGGCCGGCTCCCTGCAGGCTCTGCTCCGTAGCGGGAGGACACGGCCCGCACCCGTCCAGCCGCACCTGGGCTCCGGGAGCAGAGCCCCGCCGGCACCGAGCGCCCACCGCCGGCCCCTCCGCCTTATCCGCGGCTGGGAACGGGGGCGGGGGAGGCGGGCGAGGATGCGGGCAGGGATACAGGCAGGGCTGAGGGCAGGGATGCAAGCAGGGATGTGAGAAGGGATGCGGGCAGTGATGCGGGAAGGGATGCAGACGAGGATGACTGTATGCCGGGGAATGCAGGCAGGGGTGAGGACAGGAATTCGGGCAGGGGTGCGGGCAGGGGATGCTGCCGGGGAATGCGGGCAGGGATGATGCTGGCAGGGCTGAGGGCGGGCACGGATAGTGATGCGGGCAGGGCTGGTGATGCGGGCAGGGATGGATGGTGATGTGGGCAGGGATGGATGGTGCTGCGGGCACGGATGGATGGTGCTGCGGGCAAGGATAGTGCGGGCAGGGATGGATGGTGCTGCGGGCAAGGATGGTGCGGGCAGGGATGGATGGTGATGTGGGCACGGATGATGCGGGCAGGGATGGTGCTGCGGGCAGGGCTGGATGGTGCTGCGGGCACGGATGATGCGGGCAGGGATGGAGGGTGCTGCGGGCACGGATGATGCGGGCACGGATGATGCGGGCAGGGGTGCGGGCGAGCCCCGCTCCGCGCCCGGCGCTGCGTGGAGCCACAGCGCCCCCTCCTGGGGCCCGGCGGCACCGCCCGCCCGCTGCGCTGGCGCAGCCGGGCTGAGCCGGGCTGAACGGGGCTGAGCCGGGCTGAGCCGGGCTGAACGGGGCTGAACGGGGCTGAGCGAGGTTGAGCCGGGCTGCAAGGGGCTGAACCGGGTGAACGGGACTGAACCGCGCTGAACGGGACTGAACCGGGCTGAACGGGGTTGAGCCGGGCTGAACGGGGCTCAGCGGGGCTGAACCGAGCTGAGTCAGGCTGAGCCGGACTGAGCAGGGCCGAGCTGGGCTGACCCGGGCTGAACGGGGCTGAGCGGGGCTGAGCAGGGTGTGTTTCCTTTCCTGGGGGTTCCCTCCCTGATTTCCCACCCTCAAACGCCGTGTCTCATGGTGCTTGGGTGTTCTTCACCCTCATTTATGTTCTTCAGCGATTTTTCCCAGCCCTCCCAGATCAATTTTTTCCTGCTTTCTCAACATCTCTGCATCAGCTGTAAATACCAAGTCCTGGGCAAAGACTAGAAATCCCTATCCACTCCTGGAGGTGGGCAGGGAGCTGGGTGCGGATCCCTGGTTCTGGAGACAGTTCCTGCCATGCTCTCCTGAGCAATGCACCTGGAGAAGGTGGTGGGGCTCCTGCCTGCGCAAAGATGGGAGGATTTGGCTTTGAACTATTTCTGTCACACACACAACAATGACTATTGTCTGCTGGCAGACCCATTCCCACGGAGTGTTTAGCATCCGCCTTACACATACTTGCAACGTAGTAAACAGTGGTGGTTAGGAGGGAACAGAGACAAATCCCATGCCATTTCTTTTGGGACACATTTTACCTAAACCAAGCCAATTCACCATATATTCCTCCTCTCCAAAGTTTTAACACAGACTTTGGTCACCCTCATTATATTCCTGCTCTTGGAGGCTTGTCTCCTCACTAGGCCCTATGGAAAGAGGGGAAGAGGAGGAAGGTCAGAGGGGGATGTTAAACACCTCTAACACCAGTGACATCATCTCCCCTGTGCCCGCTCTGTCGTTTCTGATCAAAGGGGCATGCAAAGGGAGTATCTGTCCCCTGAGGATGGGAGGGTTTTTCTCTGAACCAGGGTAAGACTGAAGTGGAGCCTTGCATTGTGTGTTTTAGCCATAGATGTGTGCGTGGCTCTGCTCACACACACTCACACACATTTAAAAGCTATGTAACTCCAGCAGAGCTCTTCCAATACTCTCAGACTCCAGCTCTTGATCAGAGAAGGCATGATGAGTATGGAAATGCCACTGCTCCCCCAGCCATTTCCCTGCTTCCCTGTCTGCTGCTCATCTGCCTTTCCAGTAGTGAAATCATTCCCGAGTCCTGGGAATCTGCAAAGAGCCATAAAACAAACATAGACACACCAAATGTAGAGGGTTTTCTGCTGAGTTGCAAAGGGCTTTGGAGTCAGACAAACCCCAAATCAATGCTTGGAGCCAACTACAAGAGAGAAAGCTACACTGGAGGAACAAGCCACCTACTGCGAGCCCTGCAAAGAAGACAGCATGTGTGTGCTCGTGTGAACTTCTGAAGGTTTGATTTACATAATAAGAATATCAATGCAGCTATTTCTGCCCGTTCAGGGTGTGTGGATCCCACCTGTGCGGCTGAGCGTGCGGGAGCTGCGGGGCTGCAGAGCTTGGAGAGGGGTTTGCCTCCACAGCAGAGCGAGCCCGAGGTGCTGTGTCTGAGCCTGGGGTGGGCTGTGAGCTCCACAGCATGTGCTGGCTGTGCTTGGCGTGTACATGCTCCAGGGAGACCACGGTGGCTTGTCTGGGGTGTGTGGGAGGGAGATAGTCCAGGGCTGTCTGTCTGCTACTCGCAAGCAGAGCAGATCGATATTTTTCCTTTATAAGGAATTTTTTTTTCAAAAGCCTTTCATGTTCCTTACACCAAAGCCACATCTCCTCTTTACTCGCCCCCTCCTCCTTTCACTGTCTCCCAAATACTTCTTTACAACTCCTGGGAAAGCAGATTTACTGCCATGAACACATTATTATTATGCAGCCAGATGAGCAGCCAGAGTAAAGCATGAAGGACCCTTCTATCCTGCCTAGTGCAGATGTCAATCACACGGCTAAATTCAAACACCAGTTCTGCCAGCATTTCATCTGCTGCTGGGTTCCCTCTATGAAGAGGAGACTGCATCCAAGTGACACCTCCTCCCCTTCCCCACTCTCTGGTACCAGCACGGGGGAACTCTCCAAAGCCAAAACACACACACCTATAACCCCCCTCCTCTCTCCAGGTGGTCTCTGGGGCTTTAGACCCAGCCTGTGCTGGACCCTGGGGATGATGCAATGGCATGGAGATGCCCTCCGTCCCGCCATTCCACAAGGACTGGGAAAAGGCAAAGTTATGCTCCACACCAGCCTCACAAGCAGCACCGAACGGGGAAATGAATGTGGGGAAAACCCATCTCCAGCACGGCGGGGTGCAGCTCCCCGCCATGCCTACCCTCCCCCGGCTCTGCCGCTGTCTCCCATCCCCGCTGGAAGTGGAGGCAATCAGCCCAGTGTGGGATTCGAGGCGACAGACTTTCCTTTTCCTCCGCGATTTGCTTGTCACTTGCGAAAGCGGAGCAGCGGATTAAGTGGAGATGACACCATCTCCTCGGGGACGGTCCCCCCCTGCTCCGGGATGTATCGATACTCCGGAATACAGATGGATCCTGGCTGCCTCCCACCCCCAGCGCCACCCCGCCTCGCCGCCAGCCCAGCGGCCGGGGCTGAACCCCAACTGCCGGCCATCCTCCGCGGGGGCTGCCCCGGTAAAAAGCAGCGCTCCCATCCTTCCCAGTGCGCGAATCTCGGCCCCTCGCCCAGCACCACGCGTGCAGAACGGCTGGCGGAGCTGCGGGACCTGGCCATCCATGCCCCTGGTCAGCCCGGGGCGGGGGTGCGGGCAGGGGGGGCGCAGGGGCTGTTACACAACGCGGGCAGGACGGGGGAGCCGGCCCCGGGCAGGGGCAGCGCCGCAGCCGCAGCGCAGCGCTCGCCTTACCTGATGCTAATGTCCCTCTGTGGCGGAGATCGGCTCGCCCGTGGGTTTTATTCGGCTCGGTAGGAACTTGTGGGAGAGCTTCTCTGTCCAGCTCGCATACTGGGTGCGGGGCTGATACTGCAGGCGTGAAAATCCTGGGGCTCTAGCAGTCCTTTTCATGCTCAGACAGAAAATCCCCTTCCTTGATCCAGATCGCGGGCATTAAGGGCAGAGGCAAGGAAAAAAAAAATTCCGCTTCTCCCTTTCTTCCTTTTCCTTTTTCTTGCTTTTTTTCCCCCCTTCCTGTGCCCCCCCTCTCTTCTGCTGCTCAGTTCGTAGCCATCGGGGGAAAGAGCAGAGGCAGCAGGGAGAATGGAGAGGGGGTTAGAAATAAAAATGAAAAGAGCTCCAGGAGGGAAGCGAGAGGCTGGGCTTGCCACCGGGGGAGGGGCTTGGAGCGGGCTAGAGAGGATGAATGGGGAAGAGGAAAGCAAGGCGGAGCCCCAGCTTGGCCATTTTATTCTAAGAAGTGTTTTGTACATAATTAGAGAAGGGGAGGGGCCGGGGGCAAAAAGGAGGGACTTAAGCTCCGGCCAGACGGAGCCTGGCCCGTGGGAAGGGAGGGTGAGACCGGGAAGGGCCGCGGGATGGGGCTGCGGGCGGGGTCGAAACTTGTCCGCCGAGGGGGGATCGAGGGGGTTTGGGGAGGAGGCTGCGGTGGGGCCGGCTGCCATTCCAGGAAGACCCCCATCTATTTAATTTTTGCGTTTTTTCTACCCCCACGCCTTCAGTTTTCTCCTCCCGGACCCGGAGAGCTCCCGGCTGGTAGGAGAGCAGGATGGGAGAGCTCCCGGCCGCGCTTCGGGGATCCCGGCTCTCCTGGGGGAGCTGGGCCGGGGCCGAGCCGCTCCCCATCCCCGCCGGGCGGGCGCGGTTCAGCACCGCGGACAGCGCCGGCCGTGCCGGGAGAGGGGCGCTGGGCCGAGCCGGGCCGAGTCGGGCTGAGCTGAGCCGGGCTGAGCTGAGCCGGGCCGAGCCGAGCCGAGCCGAGCCGGGCCGAGCCGGGCTGAGCTGAGCCGGGTCGAGCCGAACCGGGATGAGTTGAGCCGGGATGAGCTGAGCATAGTCGAGATGAGCTGGGCCGCGCTAAGCCAGGCTGAGCCGGGCCGAGCCGAGCTGAGCCAGGCTGAGCTGAGGCGAGCGGGACCGAGCTGAACTACCTCAGGATGCAGCCGGCTGCTCTCCCGGCCCGGCTGTGCCCCCCAGCTGAAAGTCCCACCGCTGGGCTTGAGGATGGCTTGGGATGAGGAATGGAGATGGGGCTGATTCAAGGGCATGACCCACCCAGATAAACCTCAGCAGGCCAGCAAAGGCAGCCCAGGGTAGGGGCAGAGCTTAACAAAACTGTGATGTGAGGCTTCCAGACAGGGACCCCGAGGCTGCCAGACACTACCCCTAGGCAGTGGTGGGGCTGGGCTGGGCTGGGCTGGGCTGGGCGATGCTGACAGCGGGGAAAAGATCAGCCACCCCGTGCAGGGTATGTGGGGCAAGGAGGGCAATGGGAGATGCCCTCCTTCCTGCAAGGACAAGCCCTCCTCTGGCCTGCAAGGACACTCTGTCCTTCTCTCACCCATCCCCTGTGGCTACAGAACATTGTCTTAAGCTAAATCTTCAGCAAATCTTTCCTAAGCAGAATTAGAAGCTGTTTTGTTAACTCCACGCTGCTCTGACGGGGCTGAAGCTCAGCTTATGTCAATGGCAACGTACCCAAATCTCTCAATCAACCAAAATCTCCTGAGTTGTGCCTTTTTCCAAGGGACTGTTCAGCCACAAAGCACACTTCCTAGTGAGCCACCTTAGATTCTGTCACACTGGCTCAACCAAAAGACTGAAATGATTCTCATAGATTCCCCTGGTGCAAGGCCACAGAGGAAACTCCACAGCAGGGAAAATTCAGGAACTGGGTCTTACACAGAGCATATAAACAAGGTCAAAGCCCTTTTTTAAACAAATAAATGGCACTTGAGGTTATCATCAGTGTGTTTTTTCATTGATGCTCTTGGCATTTACCAGAAGTAGAAGGGGAAGCCTTGTGTCCTGCATGAGGCTGTTTGAAATTAAAGCAAAGGCTCCATGAAGCTGCAGTGCAGCCACATGGGATTTGCCAACTCAACCAATGCAGCAGTTCTGGGTGTCTTTCCTCACTACACCTGAGAAGGTTTCTGTGATTTGGTCTAGCAGGGTTTGGCACCACCCTGAATGATATTTCATATTCCTGTGAAGAGGGAGAGAGAGACAGCAAGAGAGATGATTCTCTTCAGGCACCCAAAGGTCTCACAGACCTATGGAACATTTCATCACCCAAGGGCTGCAGCTGTGTCAGGGGAGGGTTAGGTTGGATATCAGGGAAAGGTTCTTGTCCCAGAGGGTGCTGGGCACTGCCCAGGCTCTCCAGGGAATGGGCAAAGCCCCAAGGCTGCTAGAGCTGAAGGAGTGCTTGGATAACACTCACAACGACAGGGTGGGATTGTTGGGGTGTGTGTGCAGGGCCAGGAGCTGCACTGGATGATCCTGGTGGGTTCCTTCCAACTCAGGGTATTCCGTGATTCTGTAATTCTTTGATAAAAACTCTCTATGAAGTAACACTTCCATCCAGAAAGTCCAAGTCAACCAACTCCTGGGGCAGATGTCCTTCCTGGAAATAAGATTTTCTATCAATATAATAAAAATATAAGTAGAGGAAACATAAAACCATGTAAAAAGAGTAGTTTTGCTTATGCTTTTCCAGTCCAGAATGTTTTCCCTGTCTCCCCCCCTCCAGTCACACAACCACCGCTCCTGCCTCGTTCCCAAAGCTGTGACTGTCTCTGTATCGAAAGCGGATTATTTGGTGCATTGAGTATTCAACATGTTCTCTTACAGTATTGTTGTGTTCAATGAGCTTTGCTCATCTGAATGGACACTCACTGCATAGTCCACTGGTTTAATTTGCTGCTTTGGAAACCTAAGCAGGTTACAGCATATTTGGCTATGTGTCTGTTCTTATGTGTCAAAGATAAGGTTTCTGGATGCCATTTTTAAAAACAAAATTATTTCACTTCAGTAGCTTTCTCTTTTCAGTGGTCTCTTCTTTTTAGTCTTGAGTATTTCAACTCACCTTCTCCGTACAATGAACAAAGCCTCGATCTTCACCCAAATCAGCAAAGCTCCATTGAACAAGGATTTCTATTTCTTCTTCCAGTGAGGAATTTTTTTTTTTTGAGCTTTTAACAATTTTAGCACATCCAGCCCTCACTTTTTTTCACTCTTCTTTCCACAGATGTCTTAAAAGCAATGTTTGGACTTCTTTGAAGTATAATATTGTTCCCATGATGAAAATAGAAACCAGTCCATCAGCAGAGGATATGAAGAAGAACAGAAATTCACAACACATGGGGTGAAAAGAGAGTCTCCAATTTGCATGCAACTGGGAAACAAAAAATTATGGTAGTCATGATGATGGGGAAACAGTTATTTGGACTCCTTATTAGAAGTTCAGGAAGAAATCACATGGAACTAGAGGAGTGTCCATGTTGATCACTTAACAGCTGCCACAATGATGGACAAAGAGGTTTCCACGGTGTGTTCCAGGTGTGCTGTGGGTGTGGGTTAACCCCAGTGTTCAGCCCAACACAGCACAGTCATCCCCTGACTGCCCTCCAGCCTGCACTCCAGGGGCCTGGGGGGAAGAGGAAAGGGCAAATAAAAGCAAGAAAACTTGATGATCAAGAGAAAGAAATTTCAAAATTGAAGCAGTAGAAGATGACTAAAAGAAAACAAAAGAAGTGAGACAAAGGCAACCACTCACCATGTCCCACAGGTAGACCAATACCCAGCTGCATCTCAAACAAAAGATGACTAATCTAACTATATTCTCTTTTTCCCCTTTTTATTGCTAAGCAAGATGTTCATTATTGAAATGATCAGTGTGTTAACAAAAAACATTTTGGTCACAGACCTACAACAGGATCCTTTGAGCTGCTAGAGGGGAAATTCACTCTACCCCGAACAGGCCAGCCGAAAGTGCCATTATTATCTCTTGCAAAAGGAGCTGTATGTGCCAGCTGCACATAGTGAATTCTTCATTTCTGTTTGTGATTCTACAGCAAAGCTCACTCCAGAGTCCCATGAGCTGGTGAAGATATTCAGACTCCACTCTGTGTTCTTCTCATGCTACAGGCAAACTTTTCTTTCCCACATATCCTGTTGTGTTGTCCTCCTTGAGGATGCACAATGTATTCTTGTCAAGGTTTCACAGACTTCATTGTTTATTACAGGCTAAAAATGGATTAAACTTGCTTTGTGAGCATTGTATTGATATTCTGGTGCTCTCCCACTCTCTTGTGAAATATATTTCCTCTTTTTCCTCTGCAAACAATATCGCAGCAAGCAGAGATCTTACCCAGACTGTGCTTTGTGCTGGCTGCAGAGATATCCTGTGCACCAACCAGATCCACCTGCTGCTGGCATCCCTGAACACCTGGAGGAGTGTCCCAGTGTTCCCCAGGCAGGATGGGTGACACAGAGGGCTCTACCAGGCTGTTCTAATGGATGGCAGCAAGAAGGCTGTGAATGGGCTCAAGGGTGAGGCCAAGAGGCAAGGAGCATGCAGAGCCTCTTTCCATTCACCCCCAAATGCAGAATTAAAGGTTTAAGTTGAATCTTCTGCAGTGGCTGGGGAAAGGCTGCCCCAATCCCTGCCCAAGACAAAATGCAGGCAGGTCCCAACAGAGTGGGAAGAAGCAGTTGGGAAATGTTTGGGCTTTTTTTCCTAACAGGAGTTTCTAGTTCCCCTGCATTAAACTCAATAATCATTCTCAGTGCAATTCTTAGATATCTTAAAAATTCTGAACTCACTCATCTTTCCAAATAGGTGCTTCCTCATCTTTTCATTGTTCCTACATTAACATATCCCAAATGTATCCATTTAGAAAAATCCCTTTCCAGGTTTGAACTAACAAAGGCAGAAATGCCATAACTTCAGAATTGAACTTCAGCTGTCCTGGGCATCCACCTTTCAGGACACTTGTTCTGACCACCATGACATTCTGGGGTTGCAGCATTATATTTTCAATTTCATGAGATCCAGCTTTCTAATTAGCTTTCATTATATTTTTTCCTGCTAGTCTGCTTCTTAGCAGATGCCTTGTGAGAAAGAAGTAATAATGATGTGCCTTTTATTGAAGTTTAAAATAAGGCAGTGACCAC